GAACCGCCACTTTTTCTTCTTCCTGTTGGATTCACAGTTGTATTTTTCACTGTAGGTTTTAGGTTGAAAAAAACAAATAATAAATGGATTAAAAATGATACAGAAAAAAAAATTAATTGGTCTAATTAAATTAGTTTTTGTTGGTTTTATATTTTATGCACTGCATAGATTTTTATTTTTTTTTTATTTATTTTGTGCACTGAGAATTCCCAAGCAGGGCACAATAGGACAAAGACACAGGTTAGAGGGAACATTGGTAATATCTATACTCCTACTTTAGTAATACATTTAAATACTTTAAACACCTTAGTTAGGAAAATGTTTTTTTTTTTTTTATTCCTATTTTCTAATAAAAAAAAAAGGAATTCTGGCCTTTTCATCAGCTGTAAGCTGTAATCCAAATAACTAAAAACAAACAATATATATACTCCATGCCCCTTTATTTATAAAACACCTTTGAAATAATTCTGGTAATCAAAGAGCTGTTCATACAATATAAATCAATATGGCTGTCAGGAATTAGTATAATACAGGGTTCTCACCAGCACTTTTCAGCATATTGGGCCACTACGCTGTAAGTACTCAGTGTTATACTAAAATTAGTCCAATAGGCTCATTTTCTAGGTGTATCATCCCTTGGTTCTGTCCAGCACATTTCAAATAACAGTTGATGATTTTAAAAATGTAACTGAAATGAGGCAGATGTGCTGAATTTTAATGATTGTGTGCTAAATTGCTTTACCTCGAAGACTTTTGCTCTGATACTCAGTGCTGATGGTCCCTCAAAACTGTGTTATTTGTTTAAATGTTGCAGATTGTGCTGCACAGGGAGGACGAGGTGTTGGATTGTGAATGTGATATGGCAATGGTCCATCACCTGCTGTCTCAGATTCCTCAGGATCTGCCATACGAGACTCTGATCAGCAGAGCAGGAGACCTCTTTGTCCAGTTTCCTCCCTCTGAACTGGCCCGAGAAGCAGCTGCCCATGAAAGGTACTTAAGTCCTTAGGGTTGACGCTTGTAAGCACATTACATCTACAGGCCATTTGTGCAGTCTATCATTTCTCTGCTTCTAAATGACCGCTTCTTCTTTTTATTAAAAATCACACTTTTTGTCTTTTGCTTTTCACAATCATTACTTGCTGTTCTTTTATTAATTCTTTCAATTTCCCTTTTCTCCCTTTAATGTATCCATTTTCCTTCTAAGCATGGCGTCTTCTACCTTTGAGGACTTTGAGCTTGCATCCACTCAACAACGGCCAGACGCAGTTCTCCGCCGAAGACGCAGACAAAAACAAGCTTCTCCGGAGAGCTCGACAGCGAGCGCTGTCATGACTGTTGCACGGCCTTCAACTGCCCGCCGCTTTGTCAGATTGGCAGTAATGGGTCTGACTGTGGCTTTAGGAGCAGCGGCTCTTGCTGTGGTTAATACAGCTCTGGAGTGGGCCCCCAAGCTGGACTTGTTTCCTTGAACTACTTTTAAAGCCAACCTGCCAACTTTTGTCTACAACTAAATAAAGCTGGTGGGTCTTTTTCAAGAAGCATTTTTGGAGTCTTAACACTTTCTGGACTGGCTAAGCTCAGTGACTGAGTTGAACATGTTAACTCCGTCATCAAGAATATGTACAAACAGCCTCCTCTAAAAGGATCTCATAAGGCACCACACTTTATCCTTAAGGGTATGTAGTTTTAAAAGCTGCTGGCACTCCCTAATGAATCCATGTTATTATGAAGAAACAATTTCCAAGGACTATCATTGATGTGTCGTAATCAAAGTTTATTTATATTTTGTTATAGGATGTCTGATTTACCGTAATGCTCACTGAGATTTATGCTGAAAGCCTGACTCACTACACTTGAAACTGCTGCCAACTTTGAGAGAATGTGTGTGTGTTTGTTTGAATGTATGGGCGCAACCCATTTGTTTTACTTATTTGATATCTTTACTGAGACCAACTTAAGGATTCGCTTGATCAGCCATCTGTAGAATTAGACGTATTTCATTTTAGGGGAACATGAAGCAAATTTAGGGTAGTTATTTTACTCTTTTAGTTTATTTGCCCCCTCCAGGGTTTAAAATGTAAAAAGTGTTTCTCAATTCTAACATTTCAATGTATCACTATATGTGGAGCATCTTTAAAACCTTTTTCAACCTTAATTATGCATTTAAATAAGGATTGTAGCTAAAATCTTTAATATATAAATAAGAATGACCAAAATAACTGTATTAACAAGCTATAACAATTTTAAAAATAACACTACAATCACAAATACATTTTACATACATCTTGGTCTTAAAAATATTTCCTACTAGACATCCCGTCTAACGGCTTGTCCTCTTTTTCTTTAGTTTGAGTAATTCAAATAATCACTAATGCCTTTGCCAGGTATCTAGAAGTAATCTACTGTAAATAAGCATAAATAAGAAGAATCTCTTAACTGCTGGAGCACAACTGGTCTGCCTTTAATGTGCTATCCTATAAGTAGGCCTTTGGAGAGTGGAATAAAATGAAAACTACACTTTTAATAAACGGAAGGCAGAATCATTTACACATTTAGATGCTGGCAAAAATGACACTTTATTTCATAAATTTAAGCTTTGTACAATATCGATCAAATTATATGTAGTTATTTAAAAAAAATGCTTATAATTTAAGCTCAATTTATTGTTGTAGATTTCAGTCTTGCATTAAAAGCTATTAAAAAGATTTTACACCTAAAGTAGCTAAAGCCTTGGTTAAGATCATAGGGCCATTATTCTGCCTACAATCGCTGATAGGATCTGTCGATAACTCAACAGCCTTCCTGCATGGATTCTGTAGCACGTTCCTCTTGAGCTATGCATCTGGAAGAGGCTGATTTAACCAATTCTGGTGCGTTAACGCAGAAGGGTATGGCAGATAAATGTCAGCCTAAGGCTCATTCTGGTTTTTCCAAATGGCTCATGTCTAATGAAAAATCTTACATGTATGATCTCTACAGGGCAATAACATTATTATTCACTTGGTTTATATCTGATTTCAGGTATGTCATTTCGTTTTCAAACATACTTTGCTCTTTCTCTGAAAGCGTCACTCATGGTGAATTTGGTTCCTGGGCGTTCAGTGCATTCATGTTGTTCAATCTGTTGCATATTTTTCCAATAAGAGAGTCGCCAAGAAATAAAAAATTAAATAATGGTGATATGAAAGATTGAGTTGCGTTATCTCGAATCTGTCTTTTTTCTTTTAATAGTAGTGGATCACCTACATAAATGTAAAATATATTTATTAAATGAAGAAACATCAAAATTCCCCATGATGTTAAGAGAACCTGTATATGCAGTTTATTTAAAGGAATAACAATCTACATAATAAACCACATCTGGGAATGACTATAAATTCCCAATCACACTGAAGGTAACCTGATGTCCTCATCAAAACATGTTGATCAGTATTGTGGATCACTTGTTCGTATAATGCTCCACATTCGGTGGTATTTATTTTCATTGCACTAAGTGGTGTATATGCCTTTTAATGTTTATTTTGTTATAATAAAGCTAGTATACTAATGTTAAGTTGTAAAATAGCTTGATATAATAAACTGGACTGAAAGTGTTTGCTGTGTTCGTGTGAATCCTTCATTCCGTTTCATATTTTCTGTGGTAATACTTTTAAGATTATTACATATCAAATATTTTTACTTTTTATTTTAACCTAATTACATTAAGTAAAAGCTAATTCATTGTTATAAATATTACATATATATAAAATATATATAGTAACATACAAGATGCTTTTGTAAGACCATGACATTTTGTGCCAAAAAAAAAAAATTTTGGTTCTGAATGCTGCTCACATCTCACAAGAAAAATGCATAAAAAAAATCCTGATCAGCTATAAAGCAGGGACTGAGCCGAGAAGTTTCAGATGTTTGTAAATATTTAACCTTATAAGCTGCTGCATGTGGGTGTATCTCCTCATTGCCAAGAATGATGTTCTAACGGTATGCCAAACGTTAAAAATGTATACTCCAATTGGAGAAACTATTAACATTTTTATAGTCTCTAAACAAACATATGCACAATATGGACACGTGTGCACATCTCCTTTACTGTAGTCAAGCCAGAATTTAGATAAATCAGGTTATGAGACTTCAATCTGATGCATGGTGATACACATGAACCTACCTCGTTCAAATATTCTGAGAACCAAGCCACACAGTTGTGCAAGATCATCCATATTGTGGATTTTATTGTTTTAATACGTTTTTTTCTCTGATGTAAACTGGTCAGATGTGTCAGACTGTCAGAGTATGATCAGTGTCCCATTCAACAATTAGTGCATGTTCTCAAAGTGATAGCAGTTTATTAGAATTAATTTTGCAATGTCCCCATAGTGGATGAGAACATTTTTACAACATAAACATCGCAGACATTTTTAAATGCTATTGCAAAATGTAAAGGGAAGTTCCAAGGCAGCACTGTTCTTCAGTTAAGCTGTGAGAACACAAAACCCACCCAACCAAGCTTAACCAACACTTAAGAGTTTAGATTTTAACTAATGTCATTCTAAGCATCACTCTAAAAAAATACGATTCCTGAGTAAAGACAAGACAAATCAAAGAGACTTCAATTAAACACCTTTTAAGGATACATAACACAATGTGCAATATATTTCTTTCAGATCTTCAGGTTTGAACACTAAAGAAATGAAGAGATTGGATCTTATGAAACTCATTGTCATTGCTGATCATCTAAACAATTGAAGACCACCTTAAACTTAAAACTCCCTAAGTGCAATCAAACAAGTTATATGCACTATGAATAAATGCAATTAAAGTAACCAACGTAAACAGCATCCTTCACCTCGGTCTACACAGTAGAATGACCCCCCCCACCCAATGTTCACCACTTACAATTTTAAATACTTTCATCCTAGTCAATCTTTGATTATATTATATGCCATGATTAAAAACTAAAGGAGAAACATAAATAAAAGTCCCTAAATTGAGTCTGTTTAGATGTGTTTTTTTTTTTACCTTTTGTTTGCACAAAAACTGGTTATTGGAGGGAATAGTTTTAAATGAAACAGCTGAAAGTTAAATCTTACAACACATGACTGATCATCAAAAGTATGATAATGAAGGAACTCTCAGTGAGGTATTTTTCATGGTCTTGACAGTTAGCATCTTTAGCTGTAGATAGATGCATGCCATTTCCCTTTCCCTACAATGGTTAGTGTGCCATCATAGTTAATAATGTGTATAAAAATGTAATGCAGTAATGCGGATCCGCTGCTTAATACAATCCAAATAGTTCACAGTGTTAAGGCTGAGTCGTGTTGAACTAATAAGTGCTTTTTTGCTTCAGTGGCAGTTTTGGCAGTTGGGATGACAAGCCATGTTGTTGACCCGGCATTTACAACCACCGGATGTATCGCCATGTCCCTGCAAGAAGATAAAAAAGAAAATTAGATGCATAACTCAAAAACATTTTTTTTTTCTCTCCCAGATGATTTAACTACTCATGTTTGTGTTGCTTCCTACGCTTATGTGCAGTGATATTTACATTTGGTCCCCATCGAGCTTGTTTAGTGACCCAGCAGATTTCCGTCTTGCACATCAGACAACAGATCCAATCGCACCCATCTTTTTTTTGGACGATGATGTCACACCTTGGGCATTTCATGGCTTCTCCATTCTGCAGCATGTTCTACGGTAACAGTGTCATTTAACAGCTCAGATTTTTGCAAGGCCCACATGAGAAAATGGCAACATTCAAAATGTATATATTGAAACATCACAAAAAAAAAGTGTAAAACAATCCCTTTGCCAGATGTAAGGCTAAAGTGAAATCACATGATTTATTTCATGAACAAAATTAAAGTCATTAATGGAACTTAATAAGAATGTGAACTTGTATCAATCTAATTTAACAAAGATCATATTTCCTTGAAAGTTTTCCAGATATTCAACTGTTAAAAACACTTCTGAATAATTCCTTTAAAAAAAATGCACTGCTGGTGCATTTATTTAAGTGATCACAGATTTAGAAAGACACCCTCAGTTACTTTACTCGGCTTTAAGGCTGACAAACCTCCAACATCTGCTTGGTCTGCTGAGCTGCTTGGTCGTTCTCAGCTCGGACGCGCAGGTCATCCTGGTAGTCCTTACAGTTCATGTCCTTGTGAATCGCCTACAAAAAAAGTTAGTAAAATCTATTATATCTTCTGCTTCCAATATTGTAGAGAAAATATTGTAGAGTCAAGATTGCAAAGCTACTCGGCAAAGAAGGCAATTGGTCTCATTGCAGAGGTCGCACTGGAACTCATTGACATCATCCTCGTAGATGCACCACCCTCGACAGTTGGGGGTCTGACAGTGGAAGCTGTGCTCGGAGCGGCTCTCTGCGATGTTCAAACGCAGCTCTAGAAAACGCTGGTGCTCCTCCTCTGTAAGCAGCTGAAGAGAGAATCCCAGAATTAAACATTACATGTTTTTTCATGGAATAAGGAAGATTAATCTTGAATCTTACTACAAATTGACATCAAAGTGCAGATTGCAAACTACAACCACAGAGCACAAACATTTCCAGTTGCACCATACTGCAGGGGCAAGACGCTGCCATTTTTACAATACATACTGCAAGTTGGTTATTTCACAAATTTTAAAACAATTTTTGCTAAATATTTCTTTTTACTTAAGGCAATTCAAAATTATGATATACAAATTTCTAACGTCAACCATTCTTAAATAATACCTTTAACTGCTGTGTGAGCAATTTTTTAACATGGTTCTTTCTTTACGTCTATATTTTTGCCAATAATTTCTGTCAAACACAAAAAAGTTGACAGAGGAAGTTTTGGAGGAAATCCAAACCCTTGGTCCATGGACCTAATACCTAAATCTGATTTAATGCTATTAGATGTTCCCCTATGCTGAGGCCAAACACTAAACATTGGGGGATGAGAAACCCAAAGTAAATTAATTTAATCCGACTTCATTGAATTCCTGTTGGGACCGACTGCTGGTGTGCATTTCTGCAACTGAATCATAAAAGCACCATAAACCCTACAGTACAGTACTCTTGAACATGTCAGCAAATCTCTATACTATTAAGACTGTTACGACTACCTCAAACAACTGACCATGCGGTGGCAAAATTTAAATTAGGATGAAATTAATTAAATTGAAATCATCTAAATTCTTATCAAATAAATTGGCTTCATTCCAATAATTTTTTGCTGTTTTGTTTATAATATTACATCATGACATAAACAGTTATACTTAGAAGAACTATTCACCTTCAACTTGAGTTGACTTATGCTCACCTCTTTTATCTCTCTGTCCAATAACTTGCTCTCACAATCCGTGTCTGCACAGCACACCTCCGCATCCTGGCTGTTTATGACTGTCCCTGCGAGACACTCCCTAAAGGAACACATAAAACCCACTCACTACACGCATGAACTGTGCACATTTCGATCAGCTGAATGAAATATCTACTTGAGGAAGTCACTTAATACTATTTAAAGTTTAGTTTTTGTTTGTTTTTTTAACCTCCCAGCCCACTAAAACGTTTTCTCTTAAACCTGCAGAAGGTGTGAAGACATTCTCTTAGCACAACCCCCTCTCCTGGCTGTAGAGTAGACATGCAGATAGGGCAATCTGTCTCTGTAGTATTAGGGATGAGGTTCTGTTCTTCTGTGGCCAAGAGGTACATGTAGTTCTGCTGACGTTCCAGTTCCTGAGCCTATATTTCATGGTTACAAAAAGGATGTGGATCTTTTAGCACTTTTACAAAAAATCACTTTTTTTTAATCATTTGTCAGTTTATTAGTGAGCATCAGGTACTTCTTCATAAAGCTGAAAGGCCAGCTGTTCCTGTTGAATACGCAAAACTTCCTCCTGGTCTGGCTCGTAGACGTCTGGCACCTCATAGTCCTGTGGCCTTTCCGCTCCACAAATCTCACAGCCAGGACGAGTTGGTTTGTTAAGAAACGTGCACAGCGTACAGTTCCAGCCAACCTAAACACAAGTACACACAGTTGAATTGGTGTTCTTCCATTTCCACTACTATCATTTGACATGTACCTTGAAGGTTGAAAGCAGGCTGTAGAGCTTTTCATAGACGGTTATAGTTATTGTAAAGGGTAAGTTTGAGGTGTCTACTGGTGATAGAAGCTCAAACTACAACCTCCAATGCAATCTTATTACGGGTAATAGTAACAAGGCAATATAGTTCAGCATAAACGTTTTTCCACAGTCATGTGTTTGCATATATCATTCTCAGAACGACCAAAGTTTTATACAAAGTTTTATACAAGAATCATTGTGTAGTTTCACTGAGACATTGATAAAAACTCTATGGGCATTTACACCAGTAAATCTTTTCAAACTTGATCATACAAGGTTTTGGTAGAATAAAAATATTAAAGGATGGTTAAAGTTGAATCAGTCTGGTCATTTTTTGACATGAACTCATCTTTTAGTCTTATTCCACAAATTGTCAATAGGCGCATGTCCAGGGTTTAACTACTTGCCTCTTCTTGTTAAATAAGAGACACCAGCTCCAGAGCTCTATAATTACCTCACTACCTCACTGTTGTTCCTTTCCTGGTACCACTTTAATGTACAACGCCAAATGTGTATAAG